CCCAAAACGTGCCACATTAACCTTATATAATATCAAAAGATATTATAATTATTTCGGACCAGCAAGAAGGGACCCGTTACATATATTATTATTATTAGTATCATTCATTAATGCCCTCGCTTCATGCCAACAAACCTCCACCAATATTCTCAACTTTTGTGTATGCCCATGCCAATATCATTCTTGACATTAGGACTTCTCAACGTGTCAGATCCAGAAATTGGTCTCATTATGAATAAAAAAAGTGATATGTAAAGTGTCCTTTCAACTGTCTCATCCCTCAAGTTGACTCGGACACGGCACACAATCAACTGGAATAAGCCATAGGTAACATACTCTTACTGGCAGGAATCTCGACATGTGCTCCCTTACCAAACACTATAAAAATCAGCTAACCCTTCAAGGGCGCCGGGGAGGGGGGGGGGGGGGGGGGGTTGGTGGGTGGGCGGCACTTCCTTAGTATTTCCCAACTTGTTGAGAACTGTCCAAAACAAAAACTCTAATAGATTCTTATATACGGAAAACATTATATATAATTATATATATTGAAATAATAGTACCATTTTCTTACCAATTTTATCTATTGTCAAAATTTTGTGTGAAACTGTCTCACGAATCATTGTCCATTAAACAGATTAAGTATCACAATTTATGTTATTAGTATTATAATATTTATCATTATTAACAATCAATTTTACCTTAAATATAGTATCATAATTTTTCATATAAGTATTACAATATCTATCATAAGTAACGGTTTATTTTTAATTCAAAAAATGGTGTTAAATTTTGTACAAGTATTACAATTTCTTTCACAAGTAACATTTCACATATAAGTATTATAATATTTACATTAGAATTACACTTTATAAGTATCACAATTTCAGTTATAAGTATTACAATATTTATCATTAAAAACAATTATTTTATATTAAATAATATTAGAATTTCATAAATATTACAATATCTATTATAAATAACATTTTATTTATTTCAAATTAATATTAAATTTTATATAATTAGTATTATGTTTTCTATTATAAGTAACAAATAACTATTTCACAAATTAAGATCTATAAAACGGTCTCATGACTCTTATATATTTGGTGTCTCCATCCCACTAAATCATAGAGAGTATCATAATAGAAGATAATTAACGTCGTTATTGTTGTTGTGTCACTAAATACGTCACTAATAGTCAAGGTTATTTAAGACTAGGTTAAGAGAATAATATAATGTTAAAATGTCATAATCGAAGTTAGAGAAGTTTTGAGTTTTATAATCATGCATCCCTCCCCCACCCAGGCACCCACCCACCCTCTCCTAGGAAAAAGTTAAGTTTTAATTTAAACAATTTTTTTTTTAATGCATCAAAGTTGATGTTTGGGACAACTTCAGCTCAAAATCAAAGCTAAAACAGATGTAATTCAGCTCAACCAAAATATTAAATTATAAAATTTTAATTCTATTTGCTTACATATGTAGCTCATTGGTAAAGATATTATCACCAAAAAAAAAAAAAAAAAAAAACACACACACACAAACAAACAAATAAATAAAAGTGTGTGTGTGTGTGTTTTTTTTTTTTTTAATTTTTTTAACTACAGTGATATCTGTATCTTAAAATGTGAGATAATTTAATTGAGTCTCAATCAGATTTTATTCGCGAACAACTCTATTAAGAGCGTTGTTATATCACAAAAATATCTTTTGATAAAATTATGGTAGACTTTATCATTATTTATTAAATGTTAGAGTTAATTTTAGTTTTGATTTGTTGACTGATGTGCCCTAGCTTTTATTAGTTATGATCAAATATTTTTTTCGAAAACAGTTATGATCAAATATGATTGATTTTGAACTCAAAAGTTCAAAGTTCTTTCAAAATAAAATGCTCAAAGTATTTGTTAGGTACTTGATTTAAAACAAGACAATACTTAACATAATTTATTTATTTATTTATTTATTATTATTATTATAAAAAATAATAATTAAGTTATTATAAATGAGTAGCCCATTGTCACGCGTGGACAAACTTAATCGAAAAAAATAAACAAGTGTTAAGTATTATCATTGATTGTTTTAAATCAAAATACTGGAATTAAATTGAACAAATTTTAGGTACAATGACTAAACTGAACAAAATAATATACTATATAGACCTGGCAAAGTTTTATTTATTTTAAACAAAAACCATAACCAAAGGATCGAAATTGAAGAATATCGATAATAAATTTTTATTTATATATCTGATACAATTTTCTCATATTGATTTCATATTCCAATGCTTATCTCTTGACATAACAATAAAATTTTGAATATTCATTGATTGATCATGAATTAGCTAGATTTATCCAAATTTTAAAAACATGCATATTTGTTAATTAAATAAAAAAAAAACTCAATTAAATATTACCTTATTGTGATCTTTCGTTGACTAAGATTACAAGATTAGTTTTATTCAGAGTTCATCTTTCGAATTGTGGTGACTAACTTTCTCATAAATTTCTTAAAAAAAAAACAAAAACAAACAAAAACAAAAACTTTCTCATAAGGTAACTGTGAGAAGGTGAATTTAGGAGAACATAGTACTACTCTTTTAGAATAATATGAGAATTGATTATATATAAGTATTTCATTTAAATTTTGTCAAAATTTGAAGGCAAATTAAAGAAACAAAATAGAAAATATAGACAAAAATAATTGTGGGGCCCTAAAAAGAGATTGGAAAGTTAAAGTTAAATTGGTATGTAGCCATGTAGGGACAATGGGAGTACATAAAAAATAATTAAAAATATTTTTTTTTTTAAATAAAAATTGGAGTGCAGTGTGAGTTGAATAGTTGACTGTCGATGGCGATTAGTTGAATACGCGGCCTACGATTAAATCGTTTTTTACACTGAACGAGTGGCGGCCCTTTCCTGGAAGCTGGAAGTTAATAAAGAAATACAATTACAAATGACATTTTTAATTATCATCAATTTTACTATGTAAATTTAAATATTAAAATTTACAATTTTCAAACTTTTTTTTAAATTTATACATTTAGTATTAACATTTTACATATTTAGTATAAAAAATTTGCACTTACAAAAATGCAAAAGTGTATTACAGTTAGGGTTTAAATTTTAGAATTTATGACGAAGTTTTTTTTTTATATTTTATTTAGTTTAGTATGTACAAATTAAAAAGTTTAAGGTAAATCATGTTCATGCAAATAGATAAATCACACTAAAAAGATCTTGTGCAATAGGCTTGGCTAATAGAGTATTAACAAGAATTGACCTGGTGCATTATATTTTTGTAATTAATTTTTGTGTGTGTTTTTTTATAGTGATGACAAAAACTTCGCAATCACTATTTGAAGATATGCATTGAACAAATTTTATATTTTATTCTTAATCAGTAAAGGATACATTAATATAAATCAATTTAGATTATCCATAGTTAATAAGTTCAAATCAAGAAAGTCAGATAAGTTACTAATGTTAAGAGACAAATTTGTAATCGTGTATTTTTCTTAAATTAATTTTTTTGGCTTTGTCAGACTAATTTCTAGATGCATGAATTCGCCTGTAGGTCCATAAAATATTAATATGTTACCTTCATGTACATAATCTAGAGCAAGGTCTGTAATGCTCATGGTAAATCCTGGTCCATAATATAATAATTAGTCTAGTGATTGAGTGACTGAAACACGATTTCTATACATAATCACGAGTTTGATTCCTATTAATACCATTTCAATCAATCTTATTGCACAAAGTTTTTCTAATGTAGTTTACACGAGCTCCAAATCTTGAATAAACAAAACCATATATTTGAACCAATCAACCAAATACTACCCCCAACAAAATTTATGATTTTACCTTCAATTACTTTTTTTTTTTTATATAGAAAATATGAAGTGCATAAAACATACACGAATGGGATTCTGCAGATTGCCAACTGCATGAGGATTCTGATACTACAAATACAAAAATGAAGAATATTTGTTCCATTTCCATTTTAATGACTTGCTATTTTTTAATGGTTTATCATAGAATCCACATAAGGCATAAAATTGAACTCAATCTTCCTAGGAAATTATATTCCCCTTTTCTTAAATTGGAGCATTGCACTATCAACACTTCATAAGCGCAGCTCCTCAATATTCAACACCCAACACAATATTTTATATCCTCTTATATATATGCCTAAATTTCGACTACCCAGTATACTGGGTAAATCGCACTTGTGTAATAGTCTGCATGACAAGAAAAACCTGCAATCACACTATGAAGACCTGGTGCGATAAGGGAAACATGCAATCACACTATGAAAATCTAGTGTGACGGGTTCGATCGAGAAGATATTGATCGAGAATTATCAATAATCGAATTTTTGACTTTCTGGTATGAGAATTATGCATCACCCACTCGCCCACCCCTTATGAGTCAATTCTTCTATGTTCTTGAATTACTGTATAGTTGTTTATGTACAATTTTATTATCATATGTGCTTGATTTTAACTAAAAGTATAACTCGGTGATTCATCTAGTATATGACTTGAAATCAAATGTTGTTACACCCTTACTATGCTATAAAAAGTTAGAAATTGGTGCAGAATATATACTCTACGATACTCTGTTGATCCAATAGATGGGAGATAAAAAGAGAGAAATTGAACCCTTTTTTTTCATCAATGGTTTATCATCACATAAAAGTTTATTTTTCTTTTCTTATAGAATTTTGATAAGTGATTAAAACCCATTATTTTATAACAACTAATAATTAACGAGGCATATTTTGAACTGGTTAACCAATTGAGCTATATTCGGAAACATTAGGATTTGTTTTCCTTTCCTAATAGAGAGATGAAAATGGTTGCAATGTTGCACGTGTGGTAAGTCCAAGGTGGTAGTAAAAAAGACAGCGCCGGCTTTACTACGCTGGCGATAAATAATATATGTCCCGATTAATCGGCGTGCTTTAATGGAAGCTTCAACTTCACTGCCCCCTCATATTTCCACCATATCTTCACTTTCTCTCCACCACTCTCTTCCTCCCAACTCTCTCTCTCTCTAAAAATACAGTAAGAGAGCAGACTCCACTGCTCAGTTTCTTGAAAATCCGGCGAGAATTTTCACTGTGAATCTCAAGTCCGATTGTTGGATGACGGATTATAGGCTACCGTCGACGAATCTCTGGGCCGCCACGGCGTCCGCCGCCGGCGATGACGCGTCCATGATGGAGGCGTTCTTGTCCTCCGATATGCCCCAGTTTTGGCTCCCGCCGTCCACTACTGCTACTACCAACAACGGCGGCGGCGCGTCGGCGGCGATGACTACGACGTCTGCTCACGCGCCGCCGCCGCCGCCTGCGGCGGCGGCGTTCAACCAGGAGACGCTACAGCAGCGGCTGCAGACGCTGATCGACGGCGCGCAGGAGAGCTGGACGTACGCTATTTTCTGGCAGAGCTCCGTCGACGACTTCGCCGCGCAGGCGTTTCTAGGGTGGGGCGACGGGTACTATAAAGGGGAGGAGGATAAGGCGAAGCGGAGCAAGAAAGGGTCGTCGCCGGCGTCGATAGCGGAGCAAGAGCACCGGAAAAAAGTCCTCCGGGAGCTCAATTCTTTAATTTCCGGCCCCGCCTCCACCGACGACGCCGTCGACGAGGAAGTCACGGACACCGAGTGGTTTTTTCTGGTTTCCATGACCCAATCGTTCATGACCGGGTCCGGTCTACCAGGCCAAGCGTTCTACACCTCCAACCCGGTCTGGCTCGCGGGACCGGAACGGCTCGCCGGTTCGGTCTGCGAACGAGCCAGACAGGCCCAGGGGTTCGGGCTCCAAACCATGGTCTGTATCCCGTCGGCGAACGGCGTCGTCGAGCTCGGATCGACGGAGGTGATTTTTCAGAGCACAGATTTGATGAACAAAGTCCGGGTTTTGTTCAATTTCAATAACCCCGATTTGGGTTCCATCTCCGCCTCCGGCTCCTGGGCGGCGCAGCCGGAAAACGACCCGTCGGCGCTCTGGCTCACCGACCCCGGCCCGGAAGTTAAAGATTCCGTCAACACAAACGTTCAAGGAAACTCGTTTCCGTCTTCAATCACCAAGCAAATCGTCTTCGGAAACGAAAACCCAAATCCGGCAACCGTCGAAACTCAGAGTAATAATAATAATTCTCAGCTTTTCCCCCGGGGATTGAATTTCTCCGAGTTCGGGCTCGACGGAGGAGGAGCCGCCGTCAGAAACGAAACGTCGTCGCTTTCCTGCAAGAGGGAGTCCGGGGAGATCTTGAATTTCGGTGATAACGCCGTTAAAAGAAGCGCCTGCAGCGGGAACGACGCCATTTTTTCCGGCCAGTTTCCGGCAGCAGACGAGAACAACAACAACAATAAAAACAAGAAACGGACGACCACGTCCCGGGGGAGCAACGACGAGGGGATGCTTTCTTTCGTCTCCGGCGTGGTGGTTCCTTCCGCCGGCGGCGCCGGAGGCGCCACCGGCGATTCCGACCACTCAGATCTCGAAGCCTCGGTGGTGAGAGAAGCGGACAGCAGCCGCGTCGTGGTGGAGCCGGAAAAGCGGCCGAAGAAACGCGGCCGGAAACCGGCGAACGGCCGGGAAGAGCCGCTGAACCACGTAGAAGCGGAGAGACAACGGCGGGAGAAACTAAACCAGAGATTCTACGCCTTACGCGCCGTCGTCCCCAACGTTTCGAAAATGGACAAAGCCTCCCTCCTCGGCGACGCCATTTCCTACATAAACGAGCTCAAATCGAAGCTCCAAACCGCCGAATCCGCCCAGGAAGATCTGAAAACCCAACTGGAATCCATAAAGAAAGAATCCCGACACCCTCCTCCTCCTCCGCCCCCCGAGCCGCCCCTCAAACTCGCCGGAAAAATCGTCGACATCGACGTCGACGTCAAAATCATCGGGTGGGACGCCATGATCAGAATACAATGCAGCAAAAAGAACCACCCGGCAGCGCGGCTAATGGTGGCGCTCAAAGATCTCGATCTCGACGTCCACCATGCGAGCGTTTCTGTGGTGAACGATTTGATGATCCAACAAGCCACCGTGAAGATGGGCAGCCATGTTTACAACCAAGAAGAGCTCCGTTTAGCTCTAACTTCATCCATCGCTGCAAATCGTTAAAAACCCGTCAAGATTACTGTGTTAGATGCATCTGTATTATATATTTAATTTGTTATGATCATCAGACAGACAGAAGATCGAGCTGTTTAAGTATGTTTTAGTCGGTATATATTTTAGTTCTGTTCTTGATTTTCAGTTCTAAGCTAAGCAAATTAAAGTTCCGGCCCGGACTCAATTAATGTCGTCTAGTCTTCGTGAATTCTGTGTGTACATATAAAATTTCTGCAGAATCGTATAGAGATAAGATGAAGTTCAATCCGCCATTGTTGTTACTCGTGTGTTCTTCCATCTTCACACCACACCAATGATTAAAGATTGGACTTTTAATAAGATTTTTTGGTTGAGAATGTTAAAGAATATATGTGGTTGATATCTTTCTTGTTTAGTTCTTGCTCCTATTGACTAGCATTGGACAGTTGTTACGATATCTTGTTAACTACATGCGTGTTGGGCTGATTGTTACAATATCCTGCTAACTACCTGCTATATTCTCTCCCTTGTATGTTATTTAAGTTTGAGTGTTTTCATCAGTGCTCCTATTGACTAGCAGTGTTGGACGGGTTGTTACAATATCCTGCTATCTTCTCTCTCTTGCATTCTATTTAAGTCTGAGTGTTTTCATCAGTAAACTTGTTCAGTTCATAACCTTTCATGGTATCAGAGCATAGTTTTCTCCTACAAAATTTTTTTTTCTCCGCTTCTATCCAAATGGCTTCAACTACTACAACCACAAAAAGATATCAGCCACAGATGACTAGCGTGGCTTAATAAATTTGTTGAAACTCTGTCAGCTCGGTTTGCCCTTAAGGACCTTGGTTCCTTGCATCACTTTTTAGGTGTTGGAGTAGTTTCAACACTGCGTGTTCCTGTCTCAAAGTCAATATATCACAGACATACTGGTTCGTTTCGAGATGGATGGTGCTGTACTTTCATGCTGGCAACCTCTCTCGGTGAGAGTGTATACAGATGCTGATTGGGGTGGCTGCACTTCTAGTGGGCGGTCCACTACTGCTTACCTATTGTATCTTGGGACCAACCTCGTCTCTTGGAAGTCCACTCGTCAGAATCAGTTTCGTGCTTGTCCACAGAAGCCGAGTTCTGTGGGTAAAGAATCTGTTGCATGAGCTCTGGTTGCAACTGTTGGAGCCTCCGGTTCTGCTTTGTGACAACCTTAGCGCTACGTATCTGTGTAAGAATCCGGTGTGTCATTCCCGTATGAAGCACCTCGCGCTTGACTATTTCTTTGTTCGTGACCTAGTTTCTAATGGCTCACTGGTGGTTTGGCACATTCCTTCGTCGGGTTAGCTCACTGATTTTCTTACGAAGCCGTTAGGCCGCTCGCTGTTTCTTCTGTTCCGTTCCAAGATTGGAGTCTGCGACGGATCCTCTATCTTGCGGGGGCGTGTTAAGGATATCTGTGGCTGATATCTTTGGTCTCTATTTAGTTCTAGTTATGCTCCTATTGACTAGTAGTGTTGGACGGGTTGTTACAACATTCTGCTATCTTCTCTCCTTTGTATGCTATTTAAGTCACATTATTTTCATCAATAAACTTATTCAGTTCATAATCTTTCAAAGAAGTCTAAATCCAAGCTATATATATATATATATATATATATATATATATATATATATATATATATATATATATATATATATATATATATATATATATATATATATTTATTTATTTATTAGTACTAAACCAAAAATCTTTTTTGTTTTTTAAATTCACATTTCTTAAGTACTTCGAACTATATTTATCATAAACCTCATGAATTCGCTCTAAAACTCATGGGTTGCGAGTTGCGGGGATAGTTTAGTGAGATATAACTAACACTTCTTCTTCTTCTTCTTCTTCTCCTTCTCCTTCTTCTTGGCAAAGAACCCAAATTAGTTATTGGATGAAACTAAACCAAGTTATTAAAACCATGGTAGAAAAAACAATGCAAATTGATACTTTAGTCAAACATAAATAAATAAATAAATAACATTAAACCAAGTTAATATTTTTTTTTTGGGATAAGGGTCAAATAGACCCTTCAACTATAGGCCAAAGTGCAATTAGCCCCTTAAACTAACAAAAGCTTCAATTAGACCCTTTATCTTTTCATTTTTGTGCAATTAGGTTAATTAGAAGGTTACATTAAAGTTGCAGGTAATTTTTTTTTAAAAAATAAAAATAAAATAATATCTTTTTTTAATTCAAATAAAAATAAAATAATAAAGAAATTAAAAAAAAAAAAAAAAAAAAAAAAAAAAAAAAAAAAAAACAGGCTTCTCCGTCAAACTAGACGGAGAAGTCGGCGGAGAAACTGCCATGGCTGGCTTCTCCGGCCAGTTGACGGAGAAGCCGACCATGGCTTCTTCGCCCAGTTGACGGAGAAGCCGGTCATGGCTTCTCCGTCAAACTGGACGGAAAAGTCGGCCATGGCTCTCCGTCAAACTGGACAGAGATACCAGACATGGCTTCTCCGTCCAGTTTGACGGAGAAGTCGGCCATGGATTCTAAGCCCAGTTGACGGAGAAGCCGGCCATGGCTCTCCGTCAAACTTGACAGAGAAGCTGGCAATGGCTTCTCAGTCCAGTCGACGGAGAATGGGCCGGCTTCTCTGTCAAACTGGACGGAGATGCCAGCCATGGCTTCTCCGTCAACTGGACGTAATTTGTTTTTTTTTTTTTTTTTTTAGTTTTAGTTTTTGTTTTTGTTTTTTTTTTAAAAAAAAAAAAAATCAATTTGACCTACTATTACCTTATGTTTACCTTCAAATTAAGCTAATTGCACAAATTTAGAAAGTTATGGACTTAATTGCATACAAGTAAAAAGATGAAGGGGTTAATTGGAGCTTTTGTTAGTTCAAGGGGCTAATTGCACTTTGTCTTATAGTTGAAGGGCCTATTTGACCCTTATCCCTTTTTTTTAATAATTGGATATGATCAGCCGATCAGGGACGGAGCCAAAGGGGGGCAGGGGGCACCTGTCCCCCCTCACCCCACCCCATATATATAATTTTTGTGTGTATATATGTATATATAGTATAGGTTTTAGTATTAGTATAAAAAAACTAGTAAATGTTAACAAGTAAGGAGTTAGATTAGTTGGTAAGGCATGTGGTTAGTAATGAGAAAGGTCTTGGGTTCAAATCCTTGCATTAACATTGTTTAACATATCTTCTCCTATGGCTTCAACACAGTCACATATTTAATATCTGTTTATTTTTTTAAAATCATCTCTTTTGTATTTAATGTTTCGCTTTTACTGGAAAAAAATTCTAAATCTGTCATACTTCTTCGCCCGTTCTCAGTCGAATTTCTGGCTCCGTCCCTGGATATGATTAGTATTCTCATTTACTTTTTGTTTAGGAGTTCATTGAACTTGCCATTGTGATTCTTTGTGATTTTCAGAGGAATTGATTGAGGTTCTGATTTTCTTTGAATTCCTTAATGATACTATAATGTTGGTTTTGAAAATTCCACAATTTGTCAAAAAGGTTGTTTACGGTAAATTTATTGCACATGCATGCGGTGCCACACTTCTTAAATATAGATTAACTTAATCTTTGTCAACTTTTCACATTTAACTTTTTTTTTTTTTTTTTTTTTTTTTTTTTTTTTTTTGTGACAAGAAAACCTGCCACCACTATCTCGGTCACACAGTTCAAATATAATATACTGTATATTCATTATTAAAAAAAATTATTTTTAGTATCAAATTTATCATGATCACTCTTGTCCTAGTACAAATTTACAAGAATTTCTTTGAGGATTTAGGTTTTTTTTTTTTTTTTTTTTTTTTTTTTCTATCTGATGTTATGAACATGAGTTTACTCAAATTAATTTTTTGTTAAATCACAAGATGTCTTGAGTAGACCTAACAATAAAGGGCACATTTAAATCCGTATCATAGCCAGTCTAATTCCTGTACTCAAATTCCTATAATTCTTATTATTTTCTTCTCTTTCGTATAAAAATATTTTTTTTAGTAGTTGACCTTTTAAAAAAAAAAGTTAAAAAGATTAAGTAATTACATCAATAAGTGAAAATTTTCAAATTTTATACATTATAATAATTATATTCAAATTTTTAAATTTTGATAATTTAGTATTAAACCTTGTGTCCTGAAGTGGTTGTGACTACTGAAGAGATCAGAAAACCCACCTAACCTAATTTTATTTAGTTTTCAATTAATTGTCATATAAATTGTTTTAAAGAGTTGTAGCTCAACATTCATATCATTTGTCATATAAACCAAAAGTGTAATATCAAAAAGAAGTCAAGATTTTTTCATTCAATTCATTGCAATGATTATAGTCACTTTATTCTATGACGAAAATTCTACTATGCCAAATTGTACCAATACAAGATCCTTATAAAACTCATGACCTTTAGTCTGGCTTTGATGCCAAATTAAAGTATCTGCTCCATTACAACTAAAAGTCTAAACTGATAGTTGGATTGCACATTAATAGTTGGATTTCACTTGACACCCTCTCCGCACCATCTCATATATATATATATATATATATATATATATATATATATATATATATATATATATATATATATATATATATATATATATATGAGATGGTGCGGAGAGGGTGTCAAGTGAAATCCAACTATTAATGTGCACATTAATAGTTGGATTTCACTTGACACCCTCTCCGCACCATCTCATATATATATATATATATATATATATATATATATGAAATGGTGCGGAGAAGGTGTCAAGTGAAATGTGTAGTGAGATTTAAACCGTTGATCAAATTTAGATTAACGGTTCAAATCAATTAAAATTAAAAAAGAAATGGAGAAATGAAATGAAGTTTGAGATGAATATATATGCATTCACCTTACGTGTGGAAGACAATTGTTTGCAGATACATAAAATAAAATAAAGGACACTAAAATACAAAAGATGTTGATAAACATCTAATCCCTGACTAAATTATGAGGTGGATAATTTTGTTGGGGAGTGGACTTAGGACAAATGATGTTGATTAATGAAAATAATCTTGTCATGTTTTACATGTGAAATTTCTTAATTCCTAGAAATCATCATTATATAATATGTCCCACATGTTTTCCATCTTGTCCATACCTCCTTAATTATTAACTATTTTTTTCTTTTATTATATTTAATCTAACAAGCAGTCATTATTTTAAAGGAATAAGGTTCAAATTGGCCACTGAACGTAACCTGAAAATGCAATTAGGCCACTGAACGAAAAAAAAGTCCAATTAGGCCACTGAACACTCCAAAAACGTGCAATTAAGCCACTGAACTCTCCAAACGTATGCAATTTCACCGGATAGCAGGTTACCATCAATTTTAGCAGGTTACCTGCTTACGTGGCAGCTGAGTTGGCATTTTTAAATAATTTTTAATAATTAATTTTAATAATTAATTTTATAAAAAATTGAAAAAAATAAATAAATAATAAAATAAAGTCGTTTTTATTTTTTAAAAAAATTTTTTAAATAAAAATTTATTATTAAAATTTATTAAAAATTATTAAAAATTTATTAAAATGCCAACTCAGCTGCCACGTAAGCAGATAACCTGCTAAAATTGAGGGTAACCTGCTATCAGGTGAAATTGCACATTTTTGGAGTGTTCAGTGGCCTAATTGCACTTTTTTTTCGTTCAGTGGCCTAATTGCATTTTCAGGTTACGTTCAGTGGCCAATTTGAACCTTATTCCTTATTTTAAATGCAATCTTATTTTAATCTAATTAATTTGGATGAACATATATAAGTCAGGATTTGGTGATGGGTCTGCATATTTTTCACATAATGTATTTGCGGGTTAGGTTTTCCCCAAACCCCACCACATAGCCCACTTAAAAATGGGGTCAATGTAATTATATTGTTCAAAAATGGTGGATGAGTAGATGAAGTATGATTTTCGTACTAGAAAATTACGAGCTTAATTTTTGTTAATGCTCTTTCAGTCAAGTCCACCGTACAGAGTTTCACGAGATTTATCCAGTATATATACACATTCGGGTAGTCAGTTAAGTCCAACGTACAGAGTTTCACGAGATTTATCTAGTATATATACACATTCGGATAGTAGTTGTGAATTTTTCTCGTCATCTATAAAAATAATGTTAATTATAATTTTAGTTATTACAATAAGTAAGAATTGTCTTGTCAACACCATCTCTGTCAAATCCGTTGCAAATGGTTTTTGAATGATGTTTATTTTTTGTGTTCATGGGCTATTACATAGAAACAAGGGAAAATAATGAAGAATTGACTATTTCAATTCCTTATGTCAAGATAGTCATTATTCATTAGTTTTGTCTTAAATTTTGCATATGTTCTAGACTTTTAACTTAATTAGTCACGGGAAGTCGAAAATGAAAGTAGGAGTGGCACATTAATTTGTCATTGTTTAATGATAGTTGTCATATGCCATTGTTATATCGTGCATGTGCGCTCTAACAAGATTTTATGTTTCGTATCTACAGAATTGTATAGTAGAATACACATAAACTCTTAACATAATATACATAATACATAATACACATTAACTCTTAACATAATACATATGAACTCTTAACATAATACACATAAACTCTTAACATAATACACATAACGGAATTGGACGGATAGAACGATGTCCATCGCGTCAACTCCCACCAATTTATAGAAACGAGTCGTTTTGGGTCAGGACGCACAATACATTGTGCGACCTAGTGCACGATATAATTTACGTGTCAGATGAGGTAAGGCTATCAAAGTGGGCCGAAGTTCACAAGCTAGCCCACGAAATAGCAAGCCTAATGGGCCAGGCCCTAATAAAAAAAATATATATACATATATATGCTACACAGCAAGACAAAACTCTGCCTTGCTATGTAACATTTTATATATATATATATATATATATATATATATATATATATATATATATATATATAAATATATAATATTATTAATAGCTTAAAAAAGTAATTATTTTAAATTTTTAAATACGAAAAAATTAATATTATTTTTAAATTTTACATATTTTTTTGAATTTTGAATTCAAAAAAAAAAAATTCGCGGGGCCCGTCAACCCACATAGGGTGGACTAAGGTTGCATGAACCCTAGTCTGTAGTGGGACGGGCCAGACCACTTGGACAATACTAATATTATGAGATTCTCAAATCAACATATACTAAGACATCTTGGATTTAAATCTCGAAAATACAATTACTTTAAAACACATGAGAATGTACTTTGTCACCATTCTAACGACTCACCCGGCACAAACAGAACTAGTATCTTGTCCCTGGCCCGGATTAATTAACATTAATGATGATAAAATCTTGACGAAAATGAACTTTAATGGTAATATGAACACACTGGCTGAGCTTAATTATCGGATTGGATTCAATTTGGAGCCTGCAAGAAACTTGAAAAACAATGGCCATTAACGTAGTAAAACTGTCTTTCCTCCATCAAAATCGCTCTCTCTCTCTCTCTCTCTCTCTCTCTCTCTCTCTCTATACGTATATATATATACACATACAATGAAGCCAGTTTTGTCACCTCCTCACCCATTCACCCATGCTATACAACCTATATTAGTACGTAAATATGTACTCTCAAAACCTTAAAGCCCCCAAACAAAACTAAAACTAAAACTACAATCTTTAATTTCCGCCCCCCACGGATTATAACCTCTATCTACTATCTATCTATCATCTTCTTCAATCTTCTATCACCATTATCATCATAATCAGTTCATCAATCATCATGAGTCTGAATTGCCTGACGTGCCAGAGAACGAACTCGCTGAGGGGCGGAATCGAAGCCGCCATTACTGTGGGCAGACAGAAGGCCAAGGCTGGCCGGACTTTGAGGCGGAATCACGCCGCCGTCGAGAGGAGCTGGTCGGGGAACTTGGTTCCCAGGCTGACCGCCGGCAACAACAATGGCTCCGGCGCCGGCGCCGCCTCGAATCCGGGGCTGCAGAAGGTGGAGCGCGGCGGCGTGTCACGGCGCAGGCACCGGCACAGCGGCCCCGTGGAGTACGAGCCGCCTCGGCTGGTCAGGAGCAGTGGGATGAGGAGGGATTGGAGCTTTGAGGATCTAAAGATCAGAAAAGTGAAAACCTGACCGGCCGGCCAGACAGATTCAAGAAATCCGGCCAAAAAACTGCAGATTCAAGACTGTGTTATATATATATATATATATATATATATATATATATATATATATATGGAAAATATATGCATGTACATTTGATCATTTGGGGGGTGATTGGGTGTATTGTATGTAATTTGTTTGTTTCCAGAATTGTTCATATACATATATATCTTATTCATACTGATATATGATAATGAAATTATAAATGAATATAATTTATGTCTAACATGCATTATGCATATGTTCATCATTTCATCTTTTGCCATTTTTTGATTTACGGGAAAGCCTGCAACCATTACTGGACTGGAAGGTGCGCTATGGTGAACCCCTACCTTATGGTGTTAACCAGCAAAGGATCATAAAGAGGTAAACGGCCAACAAGCAATCTGATGGGGAGTTAAACTTAATCATAGACAAAGCATCAAAGATCACAACTTTGAAGCACACAAACATCCTTTAAAGACTCCATCATCATAATGCTTAGAAAGATTGTTCCTCAGATACTTTGTATTTACTTTCTGTCCCCATAGATTTTCCATCTTACTAGCAACTCGACCTTCTTTGTAGATGCCAAAAGGTATAGCTAATAGTGTTTGAGACAGGTGTTGGACTTGGCCCTTAGAGACTTTATCGACCTTCGTCCAACAATTCCCCCTCCTAGCACCAATCAAAAGCTATAGTTAGTAGGGAAGACGCAACTTATTTTCTTACTTATAGATTGTTATCACATTGTTCTGTCTACAGGCTGGGTGCTGGATATTTACCCTTAGAGACTTTACCAGCCCCACCCAACAATCCCCCAACCACCGGGTACTAGACATGATCCCTTTACCGGCTCTGCACAACACCTCCTCAAGCCAAAAAGAAAGAAAGAAAAGTAAATGTGGGCAGTGAAGGCATGAATGGAGCAAAAATTGCAGCTTTAAGCAGTATTAAGTCAAAGGTGGAGATTTCTTGAGCTCAAAACCAGTGGTGTAGATTATGGCACATAGTGAGCCATGGTAGGTGCAAACATGAACACCACAGACTGGGTATCTTTCAATAATTCTTCTTCTTCTTGGAAGAGCATATTGAAGTCAGAAAAAGCATATGACAGTTAACAGTAATCATCAAAACCAAAGAAAAACACAATCTTGAGTGCCCAAACTACTGAGAAACACAAGCAGAATGAAAGATAGATGGACAGAATAACTTGTTGTATTAGCCTATTAGGGGAAGATAGAAAGTAGAATACCTTTTATGCTTGAAGATCAGAGGAATTTTCCCTTGGGCACAGACAATCATCACAGAAATGGTGGGATACTAGCTTGATTGGTATGAGTGGTCGTGCACTCTCATTTCTATCCTTTAAGAGAGGTTGAGAGTTTGAAACCGCATTTTGGCGGATGGATCATGATTCTCGTATTAAAAAGTCACAATTTCGATTCTTGTTTTTTAATTAACACTTTTTTTTTTTTGTCAGTTTAATTCATGTTAACACCTTATTAGTTGAATTTGTCAGAAAAGGACTCTAACCCTTTTCTTTAAGGGAAAGGCTTAGTTCAAACTCTAGGTTATAGACTTGTTAGGTACATATCGTAACTTTTAAAAGCTCATTTTTATTTTATTGACATTATAACCGTTGTTGTTGCAAATTTATCAGCATTATAATATTTGCTCTATGCTTCTGAAAAAAATGCAAAATATGGTAGATATATCACATCATATATGTAAAATATAAGGTGCAAAGTTATTGAACTCTTATATATTTGTAGGCTATGTTAAAAAGGTTTGGATCACTCAACTTGAATTACAATTTTAAAACTATAAAGACACTTTGTATTACAATAATTGATAGTGGAAATTAGGTTGGGATCTAGGGATTGCTATGGTGTGATGGTTGAGTAAAGTAAGTATATATAACAATTGTGCACAGTAGTTGAAAGAGATGTAGATTGTTAAGTGAGTATAAGATGCCTTGCTAATAAAATACTTTTTCAAAAGAACAATGCTCAAAATCAGCTTGGTTGGTTGGCGTGAGTGGTCGTGCACTCTTGTCCCTTAAGAAAGGTCGGAAGTTTGAATCCTATAGAAAAACTAATATAGGCAGCATTAAAAAGAACCTGCTCAGGACATCTCGGGGTCTGACAAAAAAGAAAAAGAAAAAAGAGAACAATGCGTGCTTGAAACTATCTCATAAAAGTTGTTAAAGACGGTTGAAGCTGTTGAGAGATTTGCACGGCATATATATATATATATATATATATATATATATATATATATATATATATATATATATATATATATATATCTTCCACCTAATAGGAGGTTAGGACATGGCGTTCGGATTGAGAGATCAATCGACACACTGCCAAACAGAGCTAAGTAATTGTTGTTTCTGTGTGCTTTGTGCTTCGTCCTCGTCCATACAATGTTGTAAGGTTTATTGATTTGGAGATTGGTGAATGAAGGATTGAAAAATATGTTCTTGAAATGCGCCCTCTCCTCCCCCCGCCCCCACCCCACCCCACCCCACCCCACCCACACCACACCACACATACACAGATGTAGGATTTGTTATCTCTGAACTTGATTATCAATTGTTGTGTCATTTACATACTTTACTTTATGTTTAATATGTATGTGTGATAGGTTATAACCCCAATCATGTTAGTTCAAATCTTAGTTCATGATTAGTGGCAATACTTAAATAACTTGATATTGCATAAGTTCGAAAGTATCCGATTAGATAAAATTCTTAGTATTCAATATTTTGGGACTATAAAATGATTCCGTTCTCATTCTTCATGCCCCTTATAAGCGATGTCAACCAAGTTATTTATACTATACTGGAATCGGTTTATACAACTATACTAAGTTGTCCAGTCAAGTGAGTCGGTCAGCCTAGTCACACTTTAATTACCGCAATTAACAAACTTTCCTATGTTACATGGACCTACCAAAGGTGTATGCCAAACTAAGTAGATATAGCCCATCACCAATAAATAAATAAATAAACGAAATTAAAACACCTCCTTGCCAAAAATAGCAAAACCACATAGTAGGATACACAAGCAAGCTACAAAAGGAACTCCCCACGTAACTACTACATTAACACGTAGCTAGGTTTACTCTTCAATTTGTCATCTCCTTCGGTAAAATGATCCCATCCATATTTTTTTCCGAAATGATAAATAACATAAATACACAATAATTATAATTAAAAAAACTAGTATAAGAAACTTTGAATAAACTGACATCACGAAAAAAAAAATAGAGAGAGAACAAATTTATATTGTCAATTTGTATCCAAAAAAATAAATTTATGATCAGGACAGTTGGTAAGCAGAACTGTAAATATAATTATAAGGTCAGGATATCAACTTTGAAATGAATTAGTTTGTTTATTTTGCATGAGATATGTTGATATCATTTTTATAGGGTTAAACATGTCAATGAAAAACGTGTTAGGAAATTTAATTTCCTAAGTAAATTTGGGTCAAAGAAAATTAACATCAACTAACAAAAAGTTGTTAGGGAAATTCAATTAAAATAATAATTTTCAAATTATTACTCCTAATTTACCTTTTTTTTCTTTTCTTTTCTTTTAGTTTGCAAGATTAACTTTTACGGAGTATTTCTTTGTTCTTTTCCTTTTGCATTTTATTATAATTTTTAAATTTTTTTAAGGCTTATAATTTTTAAATTAACTCATTGTATATCTTATATAAATTTTATTTACTAATATGAAATTAAATAAAACAAATATTATACTAAAAAAAAAAGGATTTTGGTTCTAGCTTGTTTTTTTTTTTTTTTTTTTTTTTTTTTTTTTTTTTTTTGGACAAGAACGATGCTACATTCCTTTCTTGATTTCACTTATTTACATGTCAAGATTTATTTTTTTTAATTGATTAATAAGTAGATTTTAATGCATGCATGATGAAGGTAGTCCGTTCATGATAGTAAGAATAAAAGGAATAGGTTTGTCACGTCAAGATGTGAACTAAAATCATGAGGAAAAATAACTCTTTTTTTTTTTTTTTTTTTTTTAACAGTGAAACTTTTTTTTTTTTTTTTTTTTTTAACAGTGAAACTTGCAGTCACTACTATTTAAGGGTGTATATTAAGCGCGCTAATCTCGTTAATGTGTAACAACCCACAAATCACACATATGCAATAAATTGCACAAGAAAAAGTCTATGTGACGGGCTCAATCGAGAATATGATGGTAAAAATCAAATTACACTTATGACCTTTAGCTATAAAAATTATGTTTCACTCACTCAATCACCCTATTCGAGGCATGTGTAAGCCATTGGTACCGATGTTTGATAAAGCTAATAGCCCATGTCAATCTAAATAGTAAATACCAAAATTGTTACCCTAATAATAATAATAATAATAATAACAACAACAACAACAACAATAATAATAACAATAATAACAATAATAATAATAATAACAACAACAACAATAATAATAACCAAAGATTAAACTGCTCACAACCAAAATAAAAAATATTTTAACTACTATATTATCAAAATATTGAGACCAAAATTAGTTACTATCAACTGATCTCATGTAAAATTCTTTCATGTGAGACGTAAAATACATTTTTAAAAAAATGTAAGTATTTTTTTTTCAAAATTATATTATAAATAATTTGACCAAATCAACACTAAGTAAGTAAACACATAAAATGATAAATGGAGTAAATAAAATTAACTCGAACCGGTCTTGATCTAAATAGGTCACCGGCGTAAGGTCCGGTCAAATTTGAAGGGAATAAAAGTTTGGTAAAAAGTCGTTATAATTAACAATAGGATTTAGACTGTGTCTTAAACTATGGAATACAACTTTTTTAATTTAATAATAAGAAATTCCCATACTTTTCTAACAACTCATTAAAAATTTTGAAATAAAAAATGATTTAGAATTTATTTAATAATAGAGTTATTTTTGATATGATTATGAGGCGAAATTTGGGTTTGACCCAATATTTTTGTGAGTTCCATATACTTAACTTATTAGGGTTCAGTTTGAATAGAAAGTCTTGAAAGAAATTAACCTCTCTCGGTTTGGATTTCGGGTCTAACAATTTAATGTCAAATTCAATCTAAGATAGCTCCGAAAGGAGTGACTAAGTTAATGAAACATGATTTTCGTGCTTAAAGGTCACGAGTTAGATTCTTGCTAATATCTTATTGGTCGAGCTCGTCACACAAGATCTTTCTAATACGATTTATCTCTCCCACGTAGTTTGTTGACTATCATATATAAAGGATGTTTACCTCTCCTTGTAATTTTTCATAATAATATGTCATATTTTTGTTTGATTTAAACGCTCTAGTATGTTTGTTAAAGTGTGTTATATAATAATTAGAACCAATTCAATTAAACTCAAATTTTTATATAGAAGAGTCAATTAGTATGGTGAGTATATATTATTAGTTTATTATGCTTTAGAGAGGTTACCAAATTTTGAGATTGAGCCACCACCTTGGAGGATCAAGACTAATCCTTTATAGGACAATCTCACTTGTAATTTTAGTTTTTTTTTTTTTTTTTTTTAACTTCGAGCCCTATTATATGACTGTGCGTTCTGAATAAAGTTTGTCTTGTGCCTAACAAATAACGATAATAAGGTAAATTAATCTATATTGTACATAGTTGATCGGTTCAAACTAAAAAGACTAATAAATAGATTTTATAAAAAATTAAATATGAAACCTTGAGATTACCAAATCAATCGTCTGACCAATTTGACTGGGTTGTCCCATATAATGTTACTTTTTCATTTTTCATTTTAGAATTACGGTGTACGACGTCGTTTGGATTTGGGTTTTCTGAAATTCTGACTATTATAACGTCCCTTATAATCACCGCCACGGGGGGTTTGACCGCCTCCGTCACGCAGCGACGGCGACGACGAAAATGGCCGTAGATTAGCGCGCGGAGTGGGGGCCCCATCACTCTCTCTCAGTCCAATTCAACAGCGCCGGTGGTCCCCACCGCGCACGATAATTTATTTATTTCTTTTGTTTAATTCGTCATTTCGTTTCATTTTTTTGTGGTTTTTTGTTTTCTTTTCGTTTTTTCGCTCTCGCTCGCAACCTTTTTTCAATCTGCGTTCCACCGTTCCATCGTTGACCCACCGCTCATCGCCGCCTCCCTCGATTCAGAGCAGCCACCGCCTCACCGGAAAGAATCTGCGGAAGGAGGAGGAGGAGCAGGTTGAGATTCAGACGCAACAGCCGCGAATCACGCTGTAATTTCTCTTTCCCCCCTTGTCTTTTGGCATCTATTTCGTGCCGGGTTTACTGAATAGCTAAAAAGTTGAAATCTTTTGGAGTTTTTGGTTTATTTGACTTATGTATGCTTATGTGAGTGTTGAATAGCTAAAAAAGTTGAAATCTTTTCTGATTTTTTGGATGTTTTGGAGATGATTAACAATTGGGTATTAAGTGTTTTTGCTGTTACACCACTTTATTATGTTTTGGGAATTTGGGTATTGGGTTTTGAAGGAACTTAAGCTGATTTGATCTGGGATTTTGGTGGGCATGGATGAAAAAGTTTTATGATTATGCTTTATTTCTTGATTTTAAGTATATCACACCTTGGATTTGCAGGTTGCATCTGTTTATATGGCATTTGAAGTTTTGTGATTGGTAGTTAAGTTGAGTGGGAGAAAAAGAAGAAGTGGAAGTTTAGCGAAAATCGTTGGATTGGATCATAGTGAAAGGCTTTGAGATTGTGAGAAATGGACAATTCTAATAGGCAGATGGGTAGACATCCAGATACTTTGGGGGTGAATAAGATGGGGAAGAATATAAAGAAGAGCCCGATACACCAACCGAATTTCAGCAATGCTAATGCGGGGGGTGCTCGGCCTCAACCTCAACCGCAGGTCTACAATATAAACAAGAACGATTTCCGGAGCATAGTTCAACAGCTGACGGGCTCGCCTTTGCGTGAGCCTGCTCCTAGACCCCCGAATGCTCCCAAACCGCAAAATACTAGGTTGCAAAAGATTAAGCCCCCTCCCTTGACGCCAATAAACCGTCCCCAACTTCCCATCCACCCTCCTCCTCATATGGTAGCTCCCGCCCAGGCTCCTACAAATGTTCCTTATAATAATAACTTTGCAAGACCGCCTCCTCCTCCTCCTCAGTATGGTCAACCGCCTTTTACTCCGACTGATATTTGGGCAAATACGGCTGAGTCTCCCATTTCAGCCTATATGAGGTACCTGCAAACTTCAATTGTAGATTCGGGCCCTAGACAAGGGCCTATGCACGGTCAACCACCATCCGGTTTACTTCCTAATCCTCATGTCCCGCCCATTCCATCGCCTAGATATGGTCTTCTCCCATCCCCACGGATGAATGCTAATGCTCCTCCATTCCCGTCTCCCCGGATGAATGGCCCTCCATCCCCTCTTCCCTCTCCGGGAATAAATGCTCCTCCTTTCTTGCCTTCCCCTACTTCCCAGTTCCTCTTGCCTTCGCCTTCCGGGTTCTTGAATTTGTTGTCTCCACACTCGTCATATCCATTGCTTTCTCCGGGTATGCAGCAGCCCCCACCACTCTCGCCTAATTTCTCCTTTTCCCCTATCGGTCATCAGCCAGGTATTCTTGGTCCTGGGCCTCATCCTCATCCTCCTCCGTCTCCTGGCTATGGATTCCCGTTGTCCCCGTCTGGGTTCTTCCCCATGACAAGTCCTCGATGGAGGGCTTAAATGCTTAATAGTCGTAGGACCAAAAGCTACTGACTTTCCTTGGGTTCTTGCACAAACGCACATCCTCCTCTCCAATCACTTTTGGAGTTCATCGCAGTCTTCTATGTGGAAATGGCCTATGGAGACATACTCTAAAATGTAAGATCTTCTTCGAAATATATGTATTTTGTTTTTCATTTGCTGGTGTATCTGTTCTGTCAATACTCATTTCACATCTTAGACGTAGATTTCCTAGCAGTAGCCAATGTAACCAGTTTATTCCCGGCTCACACATGTTAGGTGGCGAGTTAGTTAAACAACTCTTCCAAACAACAAGCGTGGCCTGTAACTTGTAAGGATGTAGGTTACTGAAATTTATAGATGTAAACGTTTTTTTTAATATTCTTTTAACTTGGTCGAAACCACATCATCTTATAAATCTGCACTTTTATCAATTTTATGTTATGCTTGTGCTATTTTCTTGGTTCCTATATGCTTGAAAGTAATGGTTGTTGGCTTGTTTGTTGCCCTTGTTTGGTGTTGATTGAGTGGCAATGATCTGTTCTTCCTTTGAAACCGATATGCAACTAGATGAGTTGTAGGATCTGTTCTGTTTCAACTAAAAGTCTAAACTGATGAGTTGTAGGATCTGTTCTGTTTCGACTAAAAGTCTAAACTGATGAGTTGTAGGATCTGTTCTGTTTCGACTAAAAGTCTAAACTGATGAGTTGTAGGATCTGTTCTGTTTCGACTTAAAGTCTAAACTGATAGTCTGATCATTGAAGTACGCATTTATATTTCATTCCCGTACATGTTGAGCATTGAGCAAGATATACCATCTGTAAATTCATCTTCCTTGATCACATTTCTATGAATTTCTTGACTCTAGATCAGACAGTGTGTGCTTTCATGGTAGCTGTGATATGCATGTTAGTCCAAGAAATGAAGCTTAAATGGTTAAATCTGGGCAGTGAAGGTATCAATGAAACAAAAATGGCTGCTGGGAAAACACATACAGAAGTCATTCACCTTATTTATTATTTTATTTTATTTTTAGATGACAAGGGTGACTTGCAACCAATGTTGCAAAAGTTTCACATAGGCACCGATTAATCGACGCTTAGGCGTTGGCGTTGGCGCTGCCTAGGCCTAGGTCGCTTAGTTGGTCGATTAGCTATTGTTACATTCTTTTTAAAATTGGTTATTTTACTCAAAACGGCATCGTTTTAAGTAATTTTTTTTTTTAAATTGTTCAAACTCTAGATGTTTTTTTTAGGTTAATATTTAATAGTTTAGTATTAACTATTAAAATATTAAATAGTTTATAATTATTAGGTCTTAAAAATTTTAAATAAGATAAAAAATGCATGGGCGTCTAGGCGTCGATTAATCGCCGCCTAGCCCCTGAGCGCCCAAAGAGCGCTTAGCGATTTTTTCAACCATGCTTGCAGCCACTACCTGAGAGTGTACATTGGATAAATTTCACCTTGTGATCTTAGCCGGTAAAGGATCAGAAGGAGGTAAACCAACCTAAGTCACCTATAGTTGACCGAGTCAAATAAAAAAAGGTTAATAGGCTATTGGGAGTGGAACTTAGAACCCTGTGGTTATTAAGTTAACATGCTGACCAACTTGGATATGATTGTTTCTAAGCTAATACGCCGCTTAACTTGGATATGGTTGTTTCTATCCTTCTCCAAATCAAGAAAGCTAATAGGGCGTTGAGAGGGGAACTTAGAATCTTGTGATTACTAAGTTAATAACCTGACCAACTTGGATAGGGTTTGTCTGTCATTTTCCTTTCTATGAGTTATATAATGAATTCAAGAGTTTAGAAACGAGAGGGAGTGGCAGACATAATTTTTGAACGAGAGATGAACATAAAAGTATGGAGTATTTAGTTCGAACTTGATGAATGTTATGGTGATGAAACTTTAGGTCTAATCTTATAAACATTTAGTTCAAGCATGATGAATATAGGTTATTCAGGAACCAGACTCACACTTTTTTTTTTTTTTTTTAAAAAAAAAAAATTAATTTAATTTTGTTTATAGTTGATATAGAACTAGACTCACCTCTGTTATGAATATTATAAATGCTTCTACTTGAAGGAACAAACGGGGTGGTGGCGCAGTTGGCTAGCGCGTAGGTCTCATAGCTTAGAGTGATCCTGAGGTCGAGAGTTCGAGCCTCTCTCACCCCATATTTTCTTTACTTTTGACTATTTCTCCAAAATAGTCAATGTGAGACTTTACTGATTCTTAATTTTTACTAATTTTAGATGAGACTAATGACAGCTAGGAGTCCATATCAAAATAAATTTCAATAGACAATTTGGGCTAGAAATATCATGGGCTGGATCTTCAAGCCCATTATGAAAATGTCTTTTTATTTTTTATTGGGAAAAGGGTCAAATAAGTCCTCGAACTTTAGCTTAAAAGTCAATTAGGCCCCTAAACTTTTTAAAGGTGTAATTACCCCCCTCAACAATTCATTTAGGTGCAATGAAGCCCAAAAACAAGTTAATGACCTGCTATCACAGGTCATTAGGGTTCAGGTCACCTTCCGGCGAATTTTTCGACAAAATAAATGTGACCAGCAACCGACCCAGATTTGCCGAAAATTTCACCGGTCACTTCTTTTGTCGAAAATTTCGCCGGTCACTTTTTTTTTTTTTTTTGCCGGAAAATTCACCGGAAGGTGGCCTGAATCCTAATGACCTGTGATAGCAGGTCATTAATTTGTTTTTGGGCTTCATTGCACTTAAATAAATTGTTGATGAGTGTAATTGCACCTTTAAAAAGTTTAGGGGCCTAATTGACTTTTAAGTTAAAGTTTGAGGGCCTATTTGACCCTTTTCCTTTTTTTAGTTCGCGTTGTACATTTAGTTAAATCTAAGTCATTGATCTTATGACCCAAATCTGTCAACACAAACTCATATAAGCATATAACAAAATGGACATTTGATGACTAGTCTCTCTCTCTAATTATATATATGAGCTCCCAATAGAACTAGTAGTCTCAAAACGTATAGATTAATCTCATCATCAAGGCTTGGAAATAAGAAAAAATGCGATGTTATTTTTGTAATTACGATAATGTATTTGAAAACGCTTAAAAGTACATTCGTAGATAACTAATAGTGCACGCACATGAGTGCATTGTTATAGATCATATAAGTACACAGTTAGTTATCTATGAAATGCTATAAAAATATTATTTTTCAGGTGAAAAAACCCCATCCAAAGGAAAAAAAAAAAAAAAAAAAAAGAGCACCTAAAATGGTCCCTCGACTATAGCTAAATTCACAAATTGGTCCTCAACTTTCAATTTCAACCAATTAAGTCATTAACTTTGCAATTTTGACACGATTTGGTCCTCCATCTATTTGACCGTTTATTGACCGTGATCGACGATCTCCAGAAGAACGTTCAGCTCTCGTCGGAGCACGTGGAGGCCTACAGGATGACATTGCACCGGTTCGGAAACACGTCGTCTTCTTCGCTCTGGTACGAACTCAACTACATTGAATCCAAAGGGAGGATGAAGAAAGGCGAACGGGTCTGGTAGATTGCTTTCGACAGTGGATTCAAATGTAACAGTGCGGTCTGAAAATACAACCGGAACCTTAAAAAACCGACGATGGACCATGAAATTACATATATATCCTCAAAAATCACAGTCAACAAACGGTCAAATAGACAGAGGACCAAATTGTGTTAAAATTACAAAGTTAAGGACTTAATTGGTTGAAATTAAAAGTTGAGGATCAATTTGTGAATTTAGCTATAGTCGAGGGACCATTTTGAATATTTACTAAAAAAAAATGATATAATTTCAATTATTAATGATTTTAAAATTGAAATAAGAATTTACAAATTCGAAACATATTAAAAGGCATCAATAATTTAACATTTTGAAGTACAATGTTATCCCAAAAGAGGTTGACAAAAAGTTAAAAAATGGTAGGTAAACTTCAGCAATTATGTCATGTGCCAATGTTGGGTACAAATTCTAAAGTCTCGACATAGTACAATGTCTGGATAATTGGCGTCATACTTTCAATTTCTCTTTTTGAAACATCATACTTTCAAATTCTAGGGTACATAGTTAGGTACAAATTAAATGAATGTATCTAATTTTGATGGTGGGTAATTGAAAATGATACGATTTTAAAGATGAGTTTGAAGTATTATATAGGATTTCAAATTTCACACGTAACCTTTTGGTACATTTTCAATTGATTCCGTGAGAATTATAAAGTGATATTTAAATTTGAAATATTATCTCATATATTGGATTAGTCTTTTCAGATTTTTTTATTCTTTTGTGTTTGAATACTTTTATTATTGAGAGAATAGCGTGTGTATATATATATATATATATATATATATATATATATATATATATATATATATATATATATATATATATATATATATATATATATATATATATATATAAAAGGAGGGGGTTGGGGGCCGGGGGAGGAGTTCATAGTAGGGGTGATCGCGGTTTTAATTCCGATTCCGCAAATGACCAAACCGGAACATAAACCTTATAGTACGGTTCCTGTTTCGATTTATGAACCGACGATTCTAACCGGATTAAAAAAAAAAGTGAGACTAAAGGCCAAAGAGGTCTTTCCCTCTCTGGCCTTTGCGCCACTGCCCACCGCCCAATGTGGTAGTGAGGCAGTATGCTGCAAGCCGTCATTTTAATTTTTTTTTTTCAATTTGTTCGGATTCCTTTATTTCACAAACCTTAACCGGAACCTTATTGGTTTTAGTAGGAAATGGAACCGGAACCGTACAAACGGTTTGGATTCAGTTCCGGTATTACAGTGACGGTTACGGTTCGAATCGAACCTTGGTCACCCCTAGTTCATAGTCTAGGGGTAGAACCCTCGACACTGAAACAATTATTAAATGTGAATAGACCTCTATATTAACTCGTTTTTGACCTAAATTTACAATGAATTTTTGAAAGAAGAACTTCTGACACTATATATTAACATTGACATTGAAACCACAATATATTCACATCCAATTTAAATTTACAAGTACAAAATTTAAAGCTACACCACTCAAAAAAAATCTCAATAATTCTTCAATAAATATTCAGAAGTGAAGTTAGAATTGTCATCCTTAAATACCACATAAATTTCTGCTAACTGTCAATTATGGATGGATTAAATGACCAATCATACATAATCTCCCACGCTCAAGGAAATCCCTTGTTATCTCCACGTGGCGCATTCTCAATGGTCAGCTTGATTTTCCGGCCCCACGCAATGCAATACAAAAATCCTTTACAACAGTGTAAATAATTGCTAGATTAACGTGGAGCCCACCACCTTATTAACATCGAAGCCGTAAAACAGTTTGCCACGCCAATCTAACCGCTCCAAACAGTTAATAAACCGATACAATCTGTAAATAGATAGTTTATGTCTTTATGCCACTGTAAAATTAAATGATATATATGTGTATATTATTGCCATGTTAAAGCATTTTTGTAGAAACCCCAACTCCGAAATAATAATCAAATTTTATGAGTTCAAAGTCTCGAAATATATTCGGGTTAGTTGTTGAGATATTGAGTGCTGTATTCAAAACATAATGGTAAGTAACATAATTGATCTTTGTATGTGACTATGTGCACATCGCTTGCAAATAAAAAGTAAAAAATTTTCGTTCCGAGAAAACTAAATCACAATGATTCGGTTGCCTATTAGACGGAGGATCAGTACATGATGCTCGCAACCACATTTTCACATCCAGAATTTCCAGCATCTCAACATGGTGACCACCCCGCAACACACTCAAACTGACTGGTCGGTCCGTATCCCCACGAGAAGATGATCTGAAAAACCCTGAGAAGAAGAGGAGGTCCATTCAACCATAAGGTTAGATAAAACTTTTACGGTGTGACTATTATGATTCGCGTCTGGTGTCCTTACCTATAATTTAACACCCAAAAAACTTAAACTTAGGAATAAGAATTCATATCTCGAAACGAATAGTTGAAACAAGAAGACTATATGTATCCTCCCACATGGTCTGTCGGGTCGGAGTGTGAGGGACGCTTAGGGTTGGAGATTCAGTCTTTTGGGATAAGAATACTATGTGTACTCTCATTTTTTATTTCAAATTTTTACGCTTATCAGTGTCCGTAACATCGGGGAGTAAATATGGGTTCAAGTAAAAAAAAAAAAGAAAAGTACCATTGAAGTATTGACTGAGGTTGACATGTTCAGACCACAAAACCATAACATGTTGAGACCACAAAACCAGCGGCCAATATCATATCATATTATATATATTTATATATAAATCTCTTCTTCTTGCTTGCGAGACTGGATTACAGCATGCTTAGAAGAAGCCGGACGGGAATCAACGGCAGGTTAAAGTCCCGACATTAGCTCGCCGGCCGTAAAACACCTCCGACCGGACCTCACTCGAAAAAAATGGAGCTTCCGATGATATTCCGGGCTCCGAATCCCCCTCTCGCGTTCTTCAAAGCCGGAAACTTTCACGAATTCCCGGTCAATTTCATCAAGAAGAAGAAGAAAAACACCACGGCGGGTATTGCGGTCGTTAGAGTCAAGGCGACGGCGGAGAGAACCGGCGGCGACGCCGTGGAAGGCGGAGCAGCGGAGAGAGATGCCGGAGCTGCGGGGACGTTCGCCGGACCCACCATGGAGGTCACCACGCTCAACCAGACTTTCCGCGAAGCCGAACTTCCCGTCTGGGACAAGATCGGTGCAATCGTGCGTCTCAGCTACGGAATCGGTGAGCTTCTTCCCCATAGCTTTTCTTTGAATATCTGCAACTCTTTAGCTGCAAAAATCAAGAACCCAAGCTAAAAAAACAGTAAATTCTTGAGTTTCTTCATAAAAGCTCTAATCTTTGCAAGTACCCTGAGTTAATAATTGCTGAATTAGTTAGTATTTACTCTGCAAACTGTATAAACACGAGATTAACTGATAAACCTTTATAATACAGTAAATATTTTTGGTCAGAAGAACAAGATTTCAGTTTGGGTCTCTTTCCTGTACATTGATGATGGAAAAGTGAACATTTCCCTTTGCCCCTTTGGTCCTGAGAACTCAAAAGCAAAAAATGATATTCATTAGGGAAAGACTCTCAAAAGTTGCAATTAATACTTGCCTTCAAATATTGTGATTTGGGAAGAAGTTAGATTGACTCGATTTACCTCTTTATGGGCCCGGAGGTGGGTTCATGGGGTCCAGAACTATGGGCATACAGTTCAGTATTGAGTCTCGAAGCTAGATTGACTTGATTTATCTCCTCCCGCGTTTCGGGGCGTGTTCTTGAGGTCTAGGATATAGTCTAGCGAAGTCGAGAAATTTGGGTTATAAAACAAAAAAAAGAGTTATGAGAGGAGACAAGAGGTTAACCTCTGCCTACCTTTCTTGTAATAGTGCATCTTGATTCCTAAAATGGAAAATTGAACTAAAAGGTGAAAATTGAACTTATCAAAAAGTGTTTATCTTGGAAGTGCTTAGTTAAACAGGATATCCAAATTGGACCCTTTTCTGTATTTGCTTGTGTGGATAGTTTTTTGAACAAAATAATGATAAAAGATACAATTTTTTTCGTGATTACCTGACATTCTTGATGTATATGTTTGGAACTCAGGAATATATGGTGCAATGGCTTTAGCTGGAAGGTTTATATGTTCGATGACGGGAATAGATAGTACGGGAGGGTTCACGCCAACGTTAGATGCCATTGTTGAAGGGTTGGGATACGCGGCCCCTCCAATCATGGCCCTTCTATTTATACTAGATGTATGTTGAACTTCCTTACTATATGCTCGAGGCACTAACTAGAAGTTGTAAATAAGTTCATCGATTGAACGATTAATGGCCTAATTGGTTCGTTAATTTGAATTGAATTGGCACTAACCTTACTGTATTATTGCTATCTGAAACAGGATGAAGTTGTGAAGCTATCGCCTCATGCTCGAGCCATTAGAGACGTTGAAGACGAGGAGCTACGAAACTTCTTTTATGGCATGTCGCCTTGGCAGGTGAGTTATATATCTGGGTATTTTTGTGGCATTAACATTGTAACGTACGAGAGAGAATTCACGAATCTGATGTTGTTTTGCAGTTCGTTCTGATTGTTGCTGCAAGTTCTGTCGGGGAGGAGCTATTTTACCGAGCTGCTGTCCAGGTCAGTCTTTAGTACTTTCGAGAATCGAGCTTGTGAGATGCTGGTATGAGAATCATGCTCCATCCGTTCAGATACCCTTTTCGGGGGCAAAACTATGCAGTTTACCCGAGATGTTATTTATAATTTGCAGGGAGCTTTGGCAGACATATTCCTTAGGAGCACGGATTTGGTCACGGATGCTCGTGGGATGGCATCTATGGTACTTAATAAACCTCTCTATTCTTGTTTGAACTTTTTAACTGTTCGAATAATTGTTGTAATGTGCTCCGTTTTGTCGAAATGTAGACCGGGGTTTTGCCACCGTTCGTCCCGTTTGCTCAGGCGTTTGCTGCTGTTGTCACTGCTGCTCTTACGGGTTCCCTTTACTATATGGCTTCCTCTCCAAAAGGTAAGCCCCGACCCCCCCGAGTGTATCCTATTACGCAAACTGTGCTATTTGATCTGAAAAGTTATTTATGCGTTTCCATTTTCGCTTCAGATCCCGCTTATATTGTTGCACCAGTATTGAAGACTCGTTCAGGTCGTGAAGATCTGAAAAAGCTATTTGCAGGTACGAAAATTTAACTTAGGAACTAGTAGTTTTATGATAATCGGCGCCTAGGCGCTAGGCAATTGGCCTTCTAGGCGCCCGTCTAGGCGGTCTCCAGGCCCCTAGCGGTTTTTTCAACATTGGTTTTATCACCTCCCGGTTTTCAAGACTTGTAACATAAAAGATTGGGTTTGAACTCGTTTCGATCTTAATCTGATCTTAACCAACATTCTACTATGCAGCCTGGTACGAGAGGCGGCAAATGAAGAAGATATACTCTCCCCTACTCGAAGCAATTCTAGCCCTCTACCTCGGTTTCGAGTGGATCCAGGTAACTTTCCATTGTTGCATTCTGATAAACATCCTAGTACTCTCGTAGTCTCGTCCCATGTTATAACACATGATATATCCCACCATGTTAAACTTGTTTTAGCAGTTGCCCACTTGATTCATATAAGCGTGACACCTTTATTATATGAATCGACATTATGAATAAATTATTTCTAACAAAACTCCTGACAACATCCTAGTACTGTTGTCTGCATTTTGTAAATGAACCTCGATTGATTGATCTTACGCTCATTTGACAGACGGATAACATTCTTGCACCCATCATCACACACGGTATATACTCGACTGTCGTTTTGGGGCACGGGCTGTGGAAGATCAACGATCACCGGAGAAGACTACGCCAGAGGATTCAACAGCTCAAACAGGAAGGAAAACAGTCAAGGGATCAGTGATTTGGTTTGGGAAAATTTTGTAAATTAATAGAGCTTCTTGTTGCTATTATTAGTAGTAGTATATATATATATTAAGTATATATCATGGAAAAAGTAATTTTGTACACTGTATATGAACATACTAGCTTAACTGATACAATCCCATTTAACTGTAAATGGTAACTTTTGTTGATCAATCAATGTAATAGAGGCCTTCTTTTCAAGTTGTTAAATGGGATAATATGTGAATCAAAGTGTAATTTAACAATAAATTATACTACCTTTAAAGTAGTACACAAATAAGCAATTTAGTGTTCATTTCAGTGAAATGATTATTTAACTTTTGAAATTGTCTATCAATCACAACATAGAACACACCAACTTGAAATTGATGCAAATTTAAAAATTTTGTTGCTTTACGTTTTGAGAACTAAAATTATTCTATTTGTATGTTGACCCTCAATTATATATATTTTAGTGGGTCAATTTTAAAAAATATATATATATATAGCGAAGGGATCAGGTGCAGTAATCGCTTCCCGTGTGATTATGCGGTTGGACGCACATTAAGCATTAAACTGGCGCACTTTAAGTACACAACACACGCACATTAAGCACCCAAACAAAACACCTTAAGAATACAAATCACGTACCTTAAGAACACTAATCACGCACCTTAAGCACATAACAAAGCACCTTAAGAACACAAATTACGCACCTAAGGTTTTAAAAGTGGTTCACTTTAAGTTTCACATAACTGACGCACCTTAAGCATACAAATCACGCATCTTAAGATGAAAATAACGCACATTAAGAAGGAAACTCACGCACCTAAGTTTCAGCAACTACTCACATTAAGCACAAACTCACACACCTTAAACACAAAACTCACGCACCTTAAGCACAAAACCCAAGCACCTTAAGCACAAAACTCATGCATCTTAAGTTTCAACAACTACTACCATTAAGTACACAACCCACGCACCTTAAGCACAAATCTCATGCACCTTAAGCACAAACTCACGCACCTTATATACAAAACTCACGCACCTTACTCACAAAAATCATGCACCTTATATTTGACCTAAATGTAAAAATTTATAAAAATGCCACCGTATTTTTTATTATTATTTAATTTTGATAATCTAACGTTCATTTAAGCAAAATCGATGGTTCTCCTTTCACCGCACAACCACACCTGAGACTGCCAACTGCATTAGAACCTTTTATATATATATATATATATATATATATATATATATATATATATATATATACATACACGGGAGTGACTCCAGCCTTATGGCCCACATGCATTATGCCTTGGTCCTTTCACTTATAGAGTCATTGAATCAGAGTGATTTAACTCTTTCACAATTCCAATAAAATTAGAATAGGTAAATTCAGAGGTGAGGAATTTCGCCTTTATTGGAACGAAGATAATATGAAAAGAGCACATAAATGTGGATAAGATAATGCAAAATGGAGCCATATATTTTGCAATGATTACTTCTGTAATTAATTGAGGAGATAGAAAGCAGATTGAAAAAAAAAAAAATGAAAATGTTGTTTGGGGGAGTGGGGGGTGGGGGGTGGGTTGTGAGCCCATGCATTAGCACAATACTTTTTACCTCAGTACCTCTCGAGCCATCCTTTTCTTCCCTTGACCCCATCCCTCATGTCTGCCTTCACTTCCATTCTCATTAATTATTTTACTTCAATTCACACACATTATTATGGCACAATTCTTTTTCATTTTTAGTTTTTAAGTCCTATTTTTGTTGCTTTTGATCACCAAATTAGTGATCGGAGACAACATTTGATATGTCTCTTATTAGAAATTATAATTAAAATGGGAGACAAAGAATGAGTTTGTACCAGATATTATAGAGACAGACATTGTTTCGTAGTATCCAGTACAAACCTAAAACCTTTTCTAAATTAAAACAATGCACCTGATACAAGAGATCATATCGATATAGATTTTTTTAACATTTATAATGTGTTGTATATGTAATTTGAATAAAATTTAGTACAAAAATTTGAGACAAACAGTACAACATCTATTATCTTTCATTGATGATATTGTATGAATTTGAAACATTAATATATGTAATTTTTGGTTGAAATGATGAGCAGTGTCATTTTAGTCAGACTGGTGAATCAAACTTTTTGCGTAGCATCAGAATCTTGGTCGATTGTATTTTGTCAGTAGCCAAAAGCAATAACTGAGCTGCACTACTGGCCTGCTAGGGTTTTGTGCATCTTAATTGTAGAGGCTACATTTATACCAAGTAGTACGGTGCAACTTGCATGCCCTCATTTTGATCCCATCTTCTTTGCGTTTCAATCTCGAGTATCCTCACCTACTCTTACAGTTGAGCAAAAATTTGAAGGGTTAAATCGAGTATTCGACCTATATATCACAAAGTTTGAAGGGTCAAATCTAGTATCCGAGTAATCTTTAAGTTATTCAAAGTAGCAAGCATAGATAGCTCAGTTGGTTCGTTCTTAGGTGATATAGATTGTAGAGAAGGATGTGGACCAAGCTCGGGCAGCTACTGGGTGATCTACCCATCCACTATCTTTGATGGATCAGCTCACCAGTCAGACCCTAGTCTTCATGTGCGCACAAGGGATTCGATCTGCACATTCCTTGCTTTATCAGAGTGATCTACCCATCCACTATCTTTGGCGGATCAGCTCACCAGTCAAACCCTAGTCTTCATGTGCATGCGCACAAGGGATTCGATTCGCGCATTCCTTGCTTTATCTAGGTGATCTACCCATACCACTATCTTTTGGCAGACAGCTCACCAGTTAGATCATAGTCTTCATGTGCGCACAAGAGATTCGATCCGCACATTCCTTGCCTTATCTGGCTGATCTACCCATCCACTATCTTTGGCGGATCAGCTCACCAGTTAGACCCTAGTCTTCATGCGCGCACAAGGGATTCGATCCGCACATTCCTTGCTTTATCTGGGTGATCTACCCATCCACTATCTTTGGTGGATCAGCTCGTCTTCATGTACGCACAAGGGATTCGATCAGCACATTCCTTGCTTTATCTGGGTGATCAACCCCCATCCACTATCTTTGGCGGATCAGCTCGGATTCGATCTGCACATTCCTTGCTTTATCTGGGTGATCTATCTACCAATCCACTATCTTTGGCGGATCAGCTCACCAGTCGAACCCTAGTCTTCATGTGCGCACAAGGGATTCAATCCGCACATTTCTTGCTTTATCTGGGTGATCTACCCATCCACTATCTTTGGCGGATCAGCTCACCAGTCAGACCCTAGTCTTCATGTGCGCACAAGGGATCCAATCTGCACATTTCTTGCTTTATCTTGGACATTTTTAAGATTCAAACTCCACACTATGCCTTCAATTTTGACATTAAGTTAGGCGACGAACCATTATGCTAAGCCCTGAGACTATTTTGATTTATTAATTCTGCTTCATTTCATGTGTATGCATTTATTATTAGTGATAGTTTTGATTGGTATTATTGATAATTTAATTTTTAATATTACTAAATAAAATTTTTAAATTTAGAGTCTATACACTAATTTTTTTTTTTTTTTTTTCCGGATCAAATAGAGAAGGGATACTTCAAAGACAACAAATTAATTTAACCTTTAAACAGCATGATATATAGAAAAGGGTATGATATTAGTATATTACCATGACAGAAGAAGAATGTGTTTACAATACTTTTATTTGATTATTAGTTATCTAAAACTAAAGATATCTAGATCATCAGAGTCCTGTTCTAATATTTTCAATAAAATTATACTCGCACGTTATAAGTAATGTGTTGGGCTATGGCTCAGAGAGTCATTCATCATTCTATTATCATATCGTGGCGTTGACTAGTGGTAAACGCTTGATCCTATAATTGATATCAGAGTTAGGGTTATGATGCAGTTGAGGCTGGTAGATGTTACGTGACGCCGACTACTACGTAAGTATAAGAAAATAGTTATAATTTTGGTGTAGTGATAAGCACTTGATCCTACGAAATAAAAAAAGTATTTAATTATGGATTAACTTTCTCATTTCGATTCTTCAAAATAACTTCTATTTGGTCAAAAAATGAATTTCTTTCTCCACTAATTCTTCTTAAGAGTTCTCATTTCGATGCCAAAATGCTAGACTCGACTCTTTGAGTCCCACACTAACTTTAAGGGTTTTGGACCGTTGCTGTCGTAATCCCCTTGTTGAATTGCTGGCTTGGAGATTTAAGGCTGGTCCATACACAAAGCCAAAGATCGAACCATTGACCTTTAGTTAAAGATGGATGAGTCACTTCCACTCAACCACACCCAAGTTCAGGTAACTATTAACTATATTTAAATTGGTGAACCGGTAATAAAAAAATATGATAATTATATTATATTGTAGATTATGATGAATTGAAGTTGAGGCCCATATATAATAAACACTAGACTAGACAGCCAAACATTATAGTCAATTATTAAAAATGCATGGTGGACACTGAATTCATTGGTCTGGGATATGCAAGCTGCGTTGCAGCTGATGAATGAATCATCTATCTCTCTCATTCTGCACAAAAGAAAATGAATTGAGAGGTGGAGACTTTAGAGCAGTAGCCTGTGGGGGAGGGGACCAAAACCCCCCTTTTTCTCTTCTATCTCTAAATTTCAAGAAAGTATATGTATATATCTCAGCTGGCTTAAGGCTGTTTTTTGGGGTGGGGGTGGGTGTCCATATATGTAATGGTAAGTTTTATAGTTGATGAGACATTCAAGTACTGATGATGACCACTGTCAATATGGGGTAGTTCCTATGAAACTTTCCTCTTCAATTACATTAAATACTATACTTATGGGTGCTCACATATATCTTTTTCAAAGTCAAATGTTTCACCTTGATAAGTACTTAAAAAAAGTCACTGGATCAAATCTAGAGTAAATTTTAGCGAATAATTTACAGCCGCTATTTGAAGGTGTGCTCTAGGTGGGCAGCAAAGAATCACACATGGAGGTAATAAAATCAACCTTAATGTTCATAATTGACTGGCTCAAACTAAGAAGGTTAATAGGTGTTCTCATGGGCAGTCAAATTTGGAACTGTGTAGTTACCAAACCAACTGCTTGATTAACTGGATCGGGTGGGGTTGCCCCATTGTACATATCAATCTACTCTTTAAGTACATGTATATATACTAACCAAGAACTTATAATTCTAATGTAAGACAACATTTAGTTTCGTTGGACAGAGACCTGAAGGGTCAAGTACGACATCATATTACTACTAAATGCAATTATAAAGAAACCTCATCGGTCGTTTAAGTTGCACATTCATTACTAGTTATAACTTTTGATATAGTAATAAATGTTTGATCTGACAATTAGTATCAGAACATGTCACATATTCCGACAAGTGTTGGGAGAGGATTTTTTAGCAGATCAGCCAAGAGGGCCAAATCTAGCATCTTAACATCAAAATGTGACGTTAGTTGCGCTGGTACAAAGTATAATGAAATAAAGTTGCACATTCAGTATTATTTATAAAACATGATTATTGAATATCGATATAGGGTGTAAATTGTAGGGTAGTAAAGGACTATACTACATAATAATAAACTTAAATTTTGCTAAATATATACCACATAGAGCTAATGATAGGTAGGCTAACATGACAGAGATACAAAATAATCCCCACGGAAATTCATGACACGTCCAAATACCCCTTTAATATCACTCAGAAATCAGCAATACGAAAACGACTCTCCACTGCCAAAGCTCTTTAACTGTCTCCTACTCCAATCCAATCATGTTTTTCATTTTAATTACGTTTTTTTGTCGTTTCGTAGATTATTTTTCATTAATGTACCATAATGTAATTCTAAGTGTATCTTATGTTACATTAAATCGTACTTAACATCTTTTAATTTAGAATCAGAAAGAGAGGACGGTTCATCTAAAAATGAAAGAACACCTAACTATGGTCACTCTAGACCCTCATCGACCGTGGGCTGCCAAGCCTGTCTTCTTCAAGAATCTCACCAATGGTAGAAAGAGTTTTTTCAAAAATCTTCATGTCCTAAGCTATTATAGCAAAGAGAGATCTCAGCCAGAAGATCTATCTTTGGTATAAAGTTGATTCTGATACAAAATTGAAGCGTGTGCTCCATCACTACTGTACTACTCTGTCAAGAATTCAAGATGCTCCTCTATCCTATCGTCCTCTTCAAGAATCTCACCAATGGCAGGAGTTTCTTCAAAAATCTCCATGTCCCGACCTATTATAGTGAAAAGAAATCCGGCTATAAGGTCTAGGGCTAGGTTTGTTCTAATTAGAGTATCGTGCAAAGCATATATATGATACAATTTTACTGAATCCCAACATTGTTGCAAACTAATTAAGAGTTCAAATTGAAGTTAATACTCCACAAAGATTAAAATTAAAAAGTGAGATGTTATTCCATTAATCATTATTATTATGACTAAACTTAGTAATTAAGCCTTCTTTTCTCTCAATTTACAAAGTAAAACACTCACAATTTCAATCCCAATTCACACTTGAAATGAATTAATCAACCTATGTAACGTAACCCAAAAAGAAGCAGAAGTGATATATTGTCGCAAAAAAGAAAAAAAAAAAGAAAAAATAAAATCGTCACACATGAAGATTATTATTTGTATTATTTGCCTGTCATGGTGGTGATGATGAAGAAGATGAAGATGATCCTCGTCCTAGTCGAAGCTCGAGATCTACCTCGAGCTGTTCTTCAATGGCGGCTTCCCTCTTCCTTGTCCCATTACTGTAATTCTTGTTATTATTGCTGCTGTTGCTATTTGAGGCTGCTTGTGACGATTCGGCAGGGACTTTTAGCGACGATGCGGCGATGAACTGAGTTGTCGCCGGGAAATTAAGGGAGGGCAAGTTGTTGGACGTCGCGAAAGGTGAAATGGAGAGGAGGGTCGGCGAGGAATTCACGTTGCAGGGCTTGACGGCGGCGGGGGAGAAGGCGGCGGCGGCATTAGGGTTTGGGAGGGAGTAGAGGAGGCAGAGGCTGGCATTCGCGACGATTTCTTGAGCCGGGAAGAGGACGGCGGAGTTGGCGACGGCGGCGGGAGAGGGGAAATGGGGGACGTTCGGCCGCGGCGCTTGGTGGAGGCGGGCGCGGTCGCGGCGGTGGACGTTCATGTGGCCGCCGAGGGCTTGGGCGGAGCGAAACTCCCGCCGGCAAAAGGTGCAAGTGTAAGACCTCGGCGGCCAGGTGGCATTATTCCCGGTGTCCTCCGCGAACGCCCTAATCTCCCACGAATCCTCATCCTCGGCCGCCGCTGCCGCCATGTTCTTCGTATTCCGCATCCAATACCCGGTGGTGGCGCCGGCACCCGACGGCGGTGGTGGCTGCGGCAGGTAGTGCTGTTGAGATTCAACCAAATTTTGAAGCTGAGACACGGAGACAAGACCAAGCTGAGCAGCCATGATGTTATGTCATTTAAGGTTGTAGTGACGATGATGATAGAGAGAGAGAGACAGGAGAGAGAGAGAGAGAGATGATGTTGATGATGAGCTAAAATAATTATGCAAGAAATAGTTAAATTGAGGATGGGCTTAGGGAAATAGCGACAAAAAAAACCCTAGCAACTCTGTGAAGATATCAACAATGTTTTTCCCAAGTTTGCACTTGGATTTTAGTACTCTGCCTTTATCGCCCATCATAATCTATCTATCTATCAGAGAATCTAGATTGCCTTACCTTATTCTGGTTCTTTACCGGTTAAGATCATAAGACGAGTTTCACCTAGAGTGCACTTTCAAGTAGCGACTGAATCTAAAATCACTGCTGGAAATTATGAAATTTCCGACCCCCTGAAAGTAATCTTAAATCAAGTCGAAAGCAAAAAGTGGTCGGAAATAGCAACAAAGGTTTTTCCAGATATCAAAAGTGGTCGGAACAAGGCTTTCGACTTGATTTAAGATCACTTTCAGGTGGTCAGAAATTCCATAATTTCCAGCTATGAATAATCTTAACTCAAACAGAAAAATTCTAGACGAGTTTCACCTAGAGTACGTGTTGGCATGTTATTCTCGACTAGGTTAATCAAATGTAACAAATTAATGATATTTTTGATTTGTATAATTGAGGAATCCGCAATCATTATTACTTGAGGGTGTGTATTAGGTAAACTATACTACTCCTATGTAATACTTTGCAAAAAATATTATGAAAGAATTAATGATATTAAGTCTGTGGTTATTGGTTATGCCGTAATGGTAATGAAGCTTCTATTTTGGCCAGCATGTTTGTCATTATAAGGAAGCAAATTGAGGGTGTATTTATATGCAAAATGATGTGATTAATTAGTTAAAATAAAGTTTAGAAGATAATGACAATATATCAGTCAGAATTGATCTCATTTTTAAACTACTAGAGAAAAAAGATGGATATTAATTAGCTAAATTTTTAGACTTTTCGATTAACATCTAAGATGGTCGAAAAGTGATCTCTATTTCCAACGATTTTTTGCTAGTGATCAGAAATAACTACTACCTTTTGATATGATGGTTGTAAAAAATATAACCAGCTTTTGGTGATGAAAGTCTTTTCATCCACTACAATATGGTGGTCAAAAAATGAAATTTTGGAATGGTCGAAAACGTAATAAGGTTGGAATTTCGGTGGTTACAGTGTGAGAATTATATTTAAAGTGGGCAGATCCCTTGTGCACACTAGCATTTGACACTGTCTGCTAAGCTATTGAGTCACCGTGATTTACATCCTTCCAAATGTTCTGTCGGACCGAGGTGTGGAGGCCCTTGGTGTTGGGGATTCAACCTTTTCGGAAAAGAAGAAAATGCAATAAGGTTATTAATGTCTTTTCATTCAAGTAAAAATTTTATTTTTTTAAAAAATTTTACTAATTAATTAATTAATTTATTATTATTATTATTATTATTATTATTATTATTATTATTATTATTATTATTATTTTGTAACGAGCTTGTAATCACTATTTGAAAGTGTACATTCGATAAACTCAGTTCCTTGATTTTGATGATATCCTTTAAATTCGTATTGTATTCAACTCGATTTTTTCATACGAGAAGAATTTTTGAACACTCAACCTAGTGCACAATCACTCATGCCAACCGGTTACTTTTTTTTTTTTTTTTTTTTTTTTTTTTTTGTTATTAACTTTGAATAAGTATACCCCCAGCTTTATTATTTTGTCAAATCCTAGTTTTCGTCACCAAAACAAAAACAAACAAAAAAAATCCTAGCTAGTACGTTAATTATTGTATTGTTTACATTGCAAACAATTTAACTCTGCTGTCAAAACATACAGTATATTTACTGCACCAACTAACTACCGTTTGCTTATGTTATTATAAGAAAAATCTAACATTATGCTAGCTTATTAATCACTGTTTCAACTTTCAAGTAAATATTTAAAATGTCAACATAATCTTTAGAACTAGTAAAATCGTCAACATGAGTCTAGCATCTTGTCACAAAATATACAATTGATTGCTGGAAGGTGATTGTTGAGCGGAGACTTGGACTCGAATCCACACTACTTTTGCCATTTAGCATAGTGATAAACGCGTGATTTGACATAAATTATGGAGTAATATCTTACAAGCATGATGTACAAACTAATAAGGTACTTCTTTGTCATTATTCCTTAATTTTAATGAGCAATTTTTTAATTATAATTAAAAATTAAACTATCTCCCATCAAATTATATTGTACGTACGTGTGAAATGCCTCAAACCTAATTAGTCCGACGTAGACTGTTACGAAAATTTTATCGGTAGTTTCTTACCATATCCTATTTGTTGGGTACTTTTGTCCATTTACCCTTAACCTGGCCTAATCATCTTCAATAATCTTGTTTATTTAATTCCTTAAAATTAAATCACTAATCATCACCTATATGTCAGGATGATATCACACATGCCAAAAATTATAATTAATAGTAAATACGAATCTTTATTAATTTTTTTTATACTTGTATAGCAATTTGTGTTGCGTTTTAATGGTAGAATACCTGGACTTGACCTTCTAAGCCTCCACTCAACACTCCTCCTCCAAGCAACTACCAACCTCAATAGGGGATTTGAAGGGACACATGCCGAGAGACCAGCATGAGCGTCACGTGCCCTCCATGCACTCGGTAATCGGATCGACTAAGAAAAAACATATACGTGTAAGGTTGTATATCTGACTAGCTAATTGCTTATTGGGACCTGTCTGGATGCTAAGTATTCATGCTCGGGTCTCGCGCGGACGATCAATCAAGTCAGAACCGAGCATAGGAAGGTTAGGCGTTAACTCACCAAGCCCACGAGTCAATTACCCTTCAGATCGAGTCGGCAGACACTGTACTCTGGTCGGTTCTGATCGGAAAATGATCCGAGTTTATAAGCGATTCATACCCGACCAAATCTTAGATACAGAAAAGACCGTAGACCAAGACATATTTCCTATCAATGTGAATTAGTGAGTGCAGCATAATTCTCGTATAGTATATAAAATAAACCATTAACCATGCATCCTATAATACTTCAATTGTTAATTAATACAACATAGATATCTACGTCGTCTTCATCGGCCTGGCCTAGGAGAAACAATCTTACTCAAATTCTTTTTAATTCCCTTGTAAATTTCGTTGACATGCCACCAGTTTCCAGGACATGCATAAAGGTATACTATGCCAATTTTTTTTTCCCCCTTATTTTATCCATTCAATGTATATTAATTTATTCAACAACCACTCAGACACACCGACTACAACTACTTATAATAAGTTATACTAGATTAAATTAAACATCCTTATAATAATCTTAAAGATATTCTAGTGAGTAACGTTGTACGTTACGTACCCAATGAGAATTGAGCGCAAGTCTCCATTTTCTGAATATATACATACATATATGGCTGGAAATAAAGAATATTCCTACTTTTAATTAGCTAGATTTTTAATAGCTTTTTTTTTTTTTTTTTTTTTGAATGCTACTAGCTCTATTACAATGTAGTATCTGTTCATATACTTTCTCAACCTACTGAAACACAAAGAGCCAATAACGCTTCCACCGAGGCTCGAAATCACAATCTTCCAAATGGAAGTCCAACCCGGATACCATTAGACCACATAGTCCTGGTAGATTTTTAATAGCTTAAGTGATCGATTAATTAATATTTTAGAATGCATTCAATTACGATTTTTACAAATTTTTCAACTTTTTCTACATACTTTGTTTCTCTGTCTAGACTAGACAAACTTTTCATTTATTCCTATCAAAATTTATAGTACACTTCAAAACATTCATAAATACTCAAATACTTTTGATTTTTATCTTTTTATTTTTACACCTATCTAAAAAAAAAAAAAAAAAAAAAAAAAAAAAAAAGTCGTAGTAGAAATTTTATTATTGTTGCAAATGACAACTAGGTTTTGCTATGGTATCTTGTAGGCACATTTTTGGTCTTATACTAGTTGATTTACCATACTTATTAAACTCATTTAATGTATATTGAGTTCATATTTTTAGTTAGAATAGGTATGCAGGCTAGTTTGATCACTTGCACATTTGCGAGAACCTAACAATTTGAATTTATTAGAGGGCGTTTGATACCAAGATCAAATTTTTTTGGGAATTTAAGATGTGAAAAATAATTCTCACCTTTAGATCAACTAGAAATATAATTTCATGATATTAAAGAAAGTAAAATTCTAGCTTAACGGATAGGATATTGTTTTTTAAGAGGTGATTGGGAATGTATAAAATTTATTCATTTATGTATTCATTTTTTTTTTTTAGCCAAGTTAAAAGCCTTTGTTATAAATTAAAAAAAAAATTATCTCCTCCCATTAAAAATATATTATATGTTATACTATTTTTTGTAAGAAAATTATAAATAATGTATTAATAGAAGTTATGAAATTTTTGTAAAGTGTATTCCATTTAGAGTTTTAATAACTTTGGTAGACTTTTTAATATAATAAAGTTTTTAAAAATTTGTAAATGTTTATCCTATATATTTTTACAGATTCTTACAAAGTTGATGAAAGTTTAAAAGATTTTAGGAAAAGTCTAGAAAAATTCTATGAAAATTATTTAAAATCCATCACTTTAAAACTCTTTAAAAGTTGGAATTGAATACAGCCCCTTAGTTTTGTTTGCAATGGCAAGATAACGTTCGAACTCCATTGAAATTCCGAAGAGTCATTGTACGACTTTGACCAATCAGTAGTGGTGAATATATCTTGTGTTTAGAAGTGTACATATGGCGAGGGAACCTAGAATCATTTGAACAACTTGAGACGTACTACCATCTTCAAGTGTTTTGGGGCAGTTTTATAGGGTTCAGGATATAGTTTGGTGAAGCGAGAAAATCTGAGTTAATTATCAAAAATAACAAGAACAACAACAACAATAATAATAAAGTATTTTGTCACATTGAAGACAACAGTTAACAGCCTAAGGAAAGTTTGCAAAATAACCATTAGTTTATCCTATAATTGAGTACATTCATTGGTTTATTAGTCAATTATACGAAAAGGTTTATTAGTTAGTCAATTAAACCAAAAAGATACAATTTGATCAATATCATAAATTAATTATTTCAATAT